GGGGGGGGGGGCGACTCACTGGACAACCTCCTTCGGAGCGATTTACAGCGTCGGAAACGCAATGGCAGCTGAGCTGCTTCCTATTCCATGGGAATGAGACGTATCCAAGTCAAGTTTTCGGGCAAGTTCCCACTCCTGGGGAAAAACAGCTGGGACAGGACCAACACCTCTTTCTGGTGAACGAAAAGAACAAAAATCCCTGACATTCAACCAATGGCAGTTTTAGCCTGTAATCCTTGGGACTCCACCTGCCCTGGTAGACCTGTTTGTTATTCGTGCTGTCGCAGGAGCAGCTGACGTGATAGGCCGTCGCAAGCCGCGGAGCATTGTGGATTGGGTAGTCTAGGCCCCAATACGGCGGTTTCTATCCACTAGACGCTGAACTACATTTCCCCGAAAGCCTCTTGAATCAGCTGGCGCGGGCGGACTGTGTCATAAACGCGTGAACTTCCGGCAGAGTCGGGGGCGGGCCGCGGCGGAGGCTGGAGCGCAGTGGCAGGATGCAGCGCCCCGGCCCCTTCAGCACCCTCTACGGGCGGGTCCTGGCCCCGTTGCCCGGGCGAGCCGGAGGCGCGGCCTCGGGTGGAGGCGGCAATAGTTGGTCTGCCCCGGTTTCCCACGTGCAGCCGCCGGGGCGCGCCCAGTTCGGGTCCTGTGGCTGCACGGGTCCCACTAGCACGAGTAGTGGGAGTGCCAGCGGCGTCTTCCCGCCCCCGTCCACGATGTCCAAAGCTGAGGAGGCCAAGAGACTGGCGGGCCGCGCGGCCGTGGAGAACCACGTGAGGGTGAGCAGCTCAGGCGTGGTGGAAACCAGGCTCTGGACACTGACAGCTGGCCAGCGGGGCTGTGACGGGAAAGCTTGCGCTGGGCGGACACCTCTCCCTGCGCTCTTAGACGGCCTTTAGGGATGGGCAGTCCAGGAGCAAGCTTGCCGGAGTTCGCACAGTGGCTAGTGGTGTCCGATAGCCGCGCCGCGCCCCTGCGAGCGACTGGGGAACGGTTCTGGCGTGTCTAGGAAGTCTTTAGTTTCACTGCCCTGGAGAAGCTAGTTTTCAAAGAGCAGTGGTGCGTTAGGTCTAGGGGTAGTGTGGGTGCTTTGCTGTTCTTGTTACGGCTATGGCCCCGGGTGTTGGTTAAGCCCTAGGTGTGGTACACTGAGTTGATAAAGCGGCTGTTGTGGTGGCATTTGGGTTAACCCATACCAACCCGCTGCCCTGAGCAAGTCTTTATGCGTTTCCAGGTCTTTAATCCGGAGAAAACCGGCTGTCACATCTTTCCACCACAGGTTGATTTAAACTGCCGACCTTCTGGTTAGCACCACTGTGTGATATTCTTAGTAGGAGACTTTTAACCTACTGCTCCTTAGAAGGTGGTATCATTTTGCTTTTCTCTCTTAATCATTGTTCTTTACATTTGTTACTGTTTGACTTTATAAAGTTGTTTTGCATAAGTGGTGGCATTTGATTTTCACAAATAGTGTAACTAAGTGGGTAGGGCTAATAACCTGTGGCTTGTGTCTTCTGTTTAACGGGTTACTCAGAACTCAACTTCTCTTCCAGTGCTCTTCCACTGTTTTCATTGCTGCGCAGTTCATTTGTGGTGGTGTTAGGTATCATTGAATTGACTATGACTCATACCACCCTTGTGAATAATGGATCTGAAGCTTGCCCTGTCCTGTGCCACCTGCACCATGTCTGGTGCAGAGAGCTCGTTGGTACAGTCACCATGGCAGTCTGTGTTGTTGAGAGTCTTCTTCCCTTTCTCAGACCCTCCTCCTTTATCAGCATGGTGTCTTTTTCCAAGGACTGGCCCCTCCTAATAACATGTCCAGAGTATGTAAGATAAAGGGTCACTATCTTTGCCTTTGAGGAAAGGAGCACCCTGGTTGCACTTTCACAAAGACGTGTCTGTTCTTTTTACAGACCATAGGATTTTCAGTACTCTTCTTTAACCTCATCACAAAGGCATTGATTCTTTTCTTGTCATCCATAGTCATTGTTTTTCAGATGCATTGAAAAGTAGTTGAATCGGGTGCACATTAGTCTTTAAATTCCTTGCTCTTTAGCACTGTGGAGAGGTTGGCAGATTTTCGAAATGCAGCATATTATTTGATTCCTTGACTGTTGGTCATAAGGATGTTAATTGTGTATTCAAGTAAGGTGAAATTGTTGACTGTGAGGTCTCTGAGCCAGGACCAAACCAGTTCAGCTCAAGAAAGACAAGATGAAAAACTTCCAGGCTGGCTCTAAAGTAGAGAACAGCAGCTACTTAAAAGTTAGAGTGCAGTTTTATATTATCTTACAAGGAAATTTGAAGTTAGGATGCTCACAGCTGCTTGGAACAAGATAAGGGAACAGGCCAGTGTTAGGTCGCAGATTTGAGAGGAACCAGAGGGAAAGAAAGAAGGCTTAAAGGTAGCTAAGGTAGCTTTTTTTTTTTTTTTTTTTTTTTTAACACGTTGCCGCACACTTTTAAATTGAAGACTGTGCTTATAGCCGTCATTTTGCGTGATAAGAGGGCTCCTGGCTGGATGAGGTTCCTTGGCCTGGAGAGAGATATAGACCAGGGAATCAGCACCCAAGGTGAGTGGGGGAGGGAAGGGAGGGACATTCCATTGTGGTTTATGTTTCAGAGGCTGTTCACTCCCTTTGTTGACATGTTGCATTTTTTGAATCCTTTTTTCTCCCCCTTGACCTTGGTCTGGGCCTAACTGTGAGGGGTCACCTGCATAATTAAAGATAGGTGAAATAGTTTTGCAGCTCTGACAGAGATAACAGAGTTGCACCTGCTGCTTTGATCATTTCTGTGGCTCTTCTGGGGAAAGGGAGGGAGAGCAGCTCCATGGCCTTAACACTGACAACTTCATTCTTTTCTCCACCTATTTTGATGTTGTTTGTTGGCCCTGTAGTGAGGATTTTTGTTTTCTTGGTGTTGAGACTCAGGGAACAACAGATCTGAACTTTGTTCTGTCCCAGGCCATGCTTACCATCTCTGATATGCTCAAACCCATTGAGCATTTTCCCATGCCACCTTTGCATTGTAAAAGCAAATCTGTACCCATTTGCATACTAGAGCTCCTCTCTCTCTCTTTTTTAAAATAAGTTATTTTCAATATATTTGTTAATATATACCTTGTGGATATTCATCTTTAGCTGTGTATTTAGTTCCTGAAGCACTTGCTGCAGAAGGTCAAGGACTTGGAGAGGGACATTATGCTTGAGAGGGTGGAGGGACAGTGCAGGAGAGGAAGATCCTCAGTGAGATGGATTGACTCAGTAATGGTTAATGGGGGTAGATGTGTCAGAGACAGTAAGGTTGGCTAAGGATAGATCAGAGTTCAGGGCACATAACAACAACAAAACCAACATTCCGTTAAATAAAAAAGTGCACACACTCACCTCAGGCCTTTGAACACTGGATTCCAGCCATATTAGTCTGATGTTACCAGGATCTGTCTTTTGGGGACACTTGACCTCAGCCTCAGTTATATTCACATAACTTGTCAAAATTTTTCTGATTTTTAATCTTGCTCTTCAGGGAGCTCTGGTGGTCTTAGGGAGTTGTGCTGCTAACTCAAATGCTGCACCTCTTTTGTGGTTCGAATCTACCTCTGAGGAAGAAAGATGGGCAGTCTTCTCTCATCATTGACAGCCTCCAAGCCTCCAGAAACTACTGGAAGTTCAGCTTTGAGTTGATTCTGATTCAGGGTCCGAGTTCCTAAATTTATTTTGTTCTGGACCTGAGTAATTTACAGACTAGAACTAATTCAAGGCCACTTGTTTATTGAGCACAGCAGTCATTGTGCCTAATTGTCAAGGTTGTATTTTTTGACATCTAGAGCCTTGTTTATTGTAGTAGTTCATGTCTTCAGATTGTTTAATCATATGCCTGCGTTTATTGAGGGTAGGTTGTGTGTCAAGGCCTGTTGATTACACCTTTGGGATATTCTGGAAGTTGACCCTTCCCTTTGGCCAGCTGTTATAGATCGAATGTTTCCTCTAAGTGAGTGTTGGAATCCTCACCCCTCTACCAGAGGATGTAATGCCATTTGGAAAGAGGACTTTCTTTGAGGATGTAATTCCATATGGAAATAGGATTTCTTTTTTTATGTTAACTTACAGCAGAGTGAGTGTGTCCTAAACTTAATGGATTTTGAGATATAAAAAGAACAAATTAGACATGTAAATGATTAAACATAAATGGAAAAGATAGAATCCACAAGGAAATAATCAAGGAACTAGACAAATTTGTGGCTATACAAATTGAAGCAAGGATTGTTTTTGCCCTCCTCAAAGGGCAAGATTTCTTTTAGAACTTCTGCCTGAATAAGTATTTTAGCCTCTTCAACATTGAGGAAAAGACATTTCTGTTTATTAAACACACCACCAGTGTATTGTTAGGTTCCTTCAAGTTGAGTACGACTCATAGCAAGCCTATGGACAACAGATCTGAACCCTATCCTGTGCCATCCTTATTTGTTACAGCAATACTAGCAAACTAAGGCCCTAGCTGGTGTCCTGGTTTGAATTTCCCCATGCAGAAATGACAGTTGCCCTTGTCCCATCTGCTGATTGACTTCCTGAATGATGGCTTCCTGTGTTATGTGTCATCTCCTGAGGCTGTCATCTGGGTCACAGTGGTCTTCGTGGGCTACTCTGTGGCCTGAAATGAATCTTAATGGAACACACCTGGGACACCTGCTATGTGCCAGATACTGATATAAGAGGAAGGGGATATGTAGACAAGACACTCTGCAGAAGCCTATAGTTTTGTTTTTTTCAATGCCTCCTTCCCCATGTACCAGAAATTTACAACAGATGAGTGGCATATATTGCCTGCTTTAATGTCACTAGCATCAGCCTTGGTGGCCTAGTGGACAGGGAGTTGTGCTGTCAGCTTAAAGGCAGGTGGTTCAAATTTGCCTGCTTCTCTACAGGAGAAAGGTAGACAGTCTCCTTTTGTGTGATTTACAGCTTCTAAAAGCCCTCTGGAGGATCTGCTAAGAATTGGTTTCAACTCAACAGCAGTGAGCCGAGTTCATCATCAGCCTAGAATGCTCATCTCCCCCCTTCTATCTTAAAATCAGATATGTTCTTTAGGGGTTGCTTTGCTTAGAAGATTGTTCATCTAATTTTTCCTTTAATGTGTAAGAAGAGGAAGATTTCTTCTCTTTAATTCTGTAACACTTGCGTGTGTGTGTGTGTCTATGTGTGTGTGTTGCCTCTAATTTCTTAAACGGTGAGTTCTTGGAAGATAGTTACCTTATCTTCATTCTTTATTGTCCACAGCAAGGCCTGTCCTATAACTCTCTGTTGAACTGGAGTGGAGTGTAGACACATGGAGGCTATGGGGTTATTGTTGGCTATTTAGAATCACAGGTTGTACAGTTTTTAGTCCTCTAGCCCCCTGGTGTTCTGGTGTGGTGACTACTTCCACATTTGGGAGATAGACTGAGAGATCTTAGTTGGGTCCTCTCTGTAACCCTCTGGGCTCATGTGTGCCTTTGTTGCCAGCCAGGAGGAGCCGCAAGGCAGCTCATGCTCTTCTGAGAGTCTGTGGACTTTTCTATGTGGGATCTAGGTTTTGTTCTTTGACTGGCTTGGGTAGAAGAAGCTGATTGACAGTAGGTTCTGTTGCTTCTCCAATAGGTCTTGCATGGCAACTTTCTGCCTTTCTCCTGGACTGCTTCTGATCACTTCTGGTTGACTTTGGCTAAGGCATTGATGAGTTCAGGGTAGCAAGAACATGTGGCTGAAAAGGTTGGGTATTGTGGGACCCTTTAATTCCTGGCCTCCAACAAGTCAGAGAGGAGCCACAGGTACTTGTCAGACTTAGGTCGATCTGTGTGCTACCTGCCTGTTGGGGCCTTTTGGTGACACATTGTGTGTTGATGTGGTAATGAGAAACTTGTATTGCTGGGGAGCAAGAGTGTGCATTTTCATTCGGGTATGAAGGTCAGGTTGTGTCTATCTAATAATTTATAAGTCAAGCTATTGATTGTCTCAGATAATGTAAAGATGCAGTATTAGTATGTTTGTGTATTCAGACTTTTTCATACACCTTTTACTCTACTTCCTTTATCCTCCGTATATTAGAACTCTTGCCTCTTTGGCTTACATAGGCAACTAAATAATGATTTCCTTCCTGAAGTTGTAAGTGGAATCCTGACCTAGCCCAAGTTCTGCTTGTTCCTTATTGTCAGTTAATATTACCCAGACCTTGCTTCATGGTTTGTGGTCTAACCGACTTAAGTTCAGACTTGGCCCTATCTGCTGATAAGCCTGTTCCTTTTCACAAGGACTGAGGACTGAGTTGGTATTGTGAAAGTTGATTCTCATCTCTTGTATTCATGAAGTACTCTTCCCCTATTACAGATCTTTCTATTTTTGGTAGGAAGGACGACTATTTGTGCTCCTGCCTACACTTGCTTTTATCTTCCTGGTTTTTTTAATAATTTCATACTGGTTTACTAAAGTACTGAAGAGCAACAGTGTCAGTCTGAAGACTAAGGTGCACCTGATACAGGCCATGGTCTTTGTAATTACTTGCTATGCGTCAGAGAACTGGACTAGAGATGATAGAAGGAGAATTGATGCCTTTGAGCTGTGGTGCTGGAGAAGAGTATTGAATATACCATGGACTGCTAAGAGAACAAACAGGTTCTTCCTGGAAAGGGTGAAACCAGGCTGCTTCTTGGACGCAAGGATTCTGAAGCTTCGTCTGACATACTTTGGACATGTTGCAAGGAGGAACCAGTCCTTGGAGAGGGACATCATGCTTGGGAGGGTGGAGGGACAGCGCAGGAGAGGAAGACCCTTGAAGAGATGGATTTATTCAGTGACTGGGGTAATGGGGACAGGTGTGTCAGAAACAATAAGATTGGCACAGGATAGAGCAGAGTTTAGGACTGAGTTTGTACATAGGTTTGCTTACAGTGTTCCTGTAATTGTTTTCTCACCCCTCCCTCCACCCAACAAACTGTGACCCTATGATTACCTTCTCCCCAATCCTCAGCCCTCAGCTCTCCACCCCTGATATCCCCATACATGTTTTACAAGTTACCTAGTTATCTATTTCTACAATAACTGTTTTATACAGTATTTTTTTCATGAGACTGAGTTAGCTCATTTAGCATAATGCTTTCCAGTCCCTCCCAAGTTAGGTAGTAATTTACAAAATCATTGCTCCTGTGTGCTGTGTAATATTCTATGCTTATAATTTCTTATCCTGTATTGTCTTTGTAAATAAGCACTTATTGGTATCAGCTGGGCTGATGGCTACCTCTCTTGCTGTTTTACAGTTGTTTTGGGCCACCTCTTCCCTGTTGACTTTGGGGGAGCTGTGGGAGGGCATCAAGGATATTATCCATGAAGAAAGCAAAAAGTTCATTACAAAGGCAGTGGGGGAATAAAAGACCAAAATGGATGTTGGAAGAGACACTGAAAATTGCACCGGAATGTCAAGATGTCAAAACAAAGGAAAGAAATGCTGATGAAACAGAGAAACAGATTTCACATGTCAGCTTGAAAAGACAAAGCAAAGTACTATAATGAAATGTGCAGAGTGCTGGTGAAAGTTGTACCTGAACGTTGGACAGTTAGTAAGGATGACAGAGAATTGATGCTTTGAGTTGTAGTGTTGCAGAAGAGTCCTGAGTGGACTGCCAAAAGCTCAGAAATAGATCTTGGAGGAAGTGCATCCAGGATGCTCCTTAGAGGCAAAGATGGTTAAACTTTGTCTCATATACTTTAGATGTGTTAGGAGGGTCCAGTCCTTGGAAAAAGATACCATGCTTGGAATGGTGGAGAGTAAAAAAGAGTGGAAAATCCTCGAGAAGATAGATGGACATATAATCATGTATAGGAGAGATGATGAGGATAGGACAGGATAGGGCAAAGTTCACATCTGCTGTTGGTAGGGTCTCTTGAGTCATAGTTGGCTCTACAGCACTTAACAACAACAAGTAGATGGTAGACCAGATGTGTCATTTTCCATCTTGGAGGTACTTGTGGTCAGTCTTCTAGAAGTAAAGCTTGTGAAAAAGGCACTGGAGCCAGAAACCCCAGCATTCTGCTGTTAGAGCACATCCAGGCTCTGCTGGCTTCCTTGGGCCTTTTCTTTCTGATTGTTTCTTTTAGTTGGCCAGGAAGCTTACAGGATTCTGCACACCATTTCCGTGAAGTATGTACTGGAAGAGTTTGAGCCAGTCATTTTGTCTAGTAGAGTATGAGGAGCAATTGGAGGTGGTGAACGTCACAGGTGAAGGAAGGAAGACCCTGCTGATAAGTTGCCTACTGGGCACTAGGATAAAGAATAGCTTTGAGGTTCAGTAGTTAATTATCTTCTTGTTAGGTGAGCCCCATATCTACATGGCATCCTGTGAATTGCTTTTTATAATTTTAGAACTTGAGGAACTGAGCTGGAGAGGAGATAATGTGCTGTTGAGTCTGAACTGATTCATAGCTGACCTTGTGGGTCAACTACAGAGGCTGTAAGTAATGCTAGAGGAGAATGCGCATCTTTCTTCTGCTGAACAGTTGGTGGATTTGAACCCCTTGCCTTTGTGTAGGCAGTGCAACTCCTTACCACACAGCCACAAGAGCTTTCTAAAGAGGAATTAATATATGGTATTAATAACATTTCCTCCCTTCTTTTTGACAGAATAACCAAGTGTTGGGAATTGGAAGTGGTTCTACAATTGTCCATGCTGTGCAGCGAATAGGTATGTTCTTGGCCTGTCTCTGGATATCATGTGGGATGAAGAGGGCTGAGAGGTAGAGGACAGGAGAGGAGGCAGGGCACAGGCTTAGCATCTGCCCAGCTTGGTGCTAACAGTGCTGAGCTGGGGGTGGCAGCCTGGCAGCCATTAGGTTGATTGAGTCTTTCTACTCCTCTGTGGAGAGAGGGCTCTGGGCCACTTTAACCTCTTTTGAGGAAATGCCCTTGGCATGTGAGCTCTGCTAGAGGGAAGGAGTGGACAGAGGTAGATTCTCAGATGAATTTTAAACACTTCAGTGTCATGATCTGTCCTGTATGGAGTGGAAGCCAGAGCCTGGCCCTCTGCAGCTCTGAATTTCATAGGTAATCTTGGGCAAATAGATTGAAGTCATAAGGGACATTTGCCCTGACCTGCTTGTGACCTGAGTGGAGTTCCGGTGAGGTGAAATACAGCACCTAAGTTGGCAGGTTCCAGCAGGTGCTAACTTCATTCTGATCAAGAGTCTCAGTGCTTAGGAAAAGCTTTCAGAATTTCTTCCTTGTGACTGCACAGCAGGATTTAAAGGCCCTGCCCTGCTGTTGTTTGTGCACAAGCCTAGAGGAGGGTCTGGCTGCTTCCTGATCTCTGGGCTTCTGGATGCCCAGGGACTGGCCTGAGAGACAAAGTCCAGGAACTCTTTGTCCTCAAGGAGCAGCTGTAGTGGCCTGAGAAGAAATTTTTCCTTATTTAATGAAAGAAGCTTTCTTTAAAAGAACAAATCTAAAATGACTGAATAAATCCCACTTGAACACTTTCTGGTATACAGTTGATTATTGCTATTATTTCACTAACTGTGAAAACAAAGTTCTAGTTATTCTCAAAAAATGCACTGCCAGGTAATAGTTAAGCTTCTGCCCCAGATCCTAACTCAACGTTGGTACTTATCAGCTGTATAACTTCCAAGTTAATTCACCTTTCTTTACTTCAGTTTCCTCAATTGAAAGATAGGAATAGAAGTCATAACTCATCTTTTGGGTGTTTAGGATTAAAGATTTATTTCACTATGAGTCAAAGTTTGTTGGGTTTTTAAAAAAGTTTTTACTGATTTAACAAAGTTTGAATACATTGTTTTTCACAAAAAAATCCTTCTGATTTCCTTCATCCCAAGTCAAAGTTTTTAGACTGTTGCCAGATAACAAATACTTTCTTTTCCCAGTGATTAGCATTTGCCTCATAGGTAAATGTGGATGAAGTGTGGTTACTGGCTTTTCAACAAGGGTAAGACGAAATGGACTACT